GGACACACCCAAACAAGGACATTAATACCCTTCCTTTATTTACACACATCCGCTTCCCAACCGTTGCTACGTTACCTTGCCCTTGTCAAAAGACTGATAATGTTGTAAAAAAAGGCAAAAATGCGAAAAAAAAAGAGGAGGAGATAAGGAGGTGGATATAAGGAGGAATCAGGATTGCGCAGTTGTTTTTGGCCCTGTAGTGTTTGTGGGAGTCAGAAGAAACACAGGACACTGTAAACTTTTGATTAACAACAATGCAGACCGCCGCTGCTCTGAGTGTCATTATAGGCTTTTTCGTGGCTCTGACTGAAGGTGATGTGGTGTCTGACTTTCAGGATGAGCCTGACTGCATAAAGTTCTTCTACAAAGGCAAAGTCCCACAATGGGGCTCGACCACATCTGGTGCCGCCCGGCTCTGTCAGCGCTACCAGAACACGTACCACTTTGCTACGCTGTACGACACATACAACCGCATTGCCGTGTACTCTGCTTACATCTTTGGGCCCAGCAATGGGGGAGGCAGGGAGACTCGTTGGTTTGTGGAGCCCCAGGTGAGTGCAGGTGGCTGAGAGATATCATTGATTACTTGATATTTGATTGCATGAATGATATTGCTTTCTCGAAAACTGGCTTTGCTATAGATACAACTGCTGTAGTCGCTTTATGATCCAAGCCGTTAAAAGCTTATGTCTTCTAGCTGGTGAATCAAAACTGGGAAGGTGAGATGAAGGAAAGCTTCGTGCTGGAGAAGGAACACCCTGATGTCTATCAGGGTGAGAGGCAGGCTCTGAATGTGGACTACACTTCCTCAGGGTTTGATCGCGGCCACCTTAATCCCAATGGGCACCATGCAGGTATGCGCTGATCACAATCAATATCCTCTGATTCATTTTAACGAAGAGGCAAAGACATTAACATGAACATTTTAAAGTAGCTTATATGTGAAAATGTTAAAGTAAGCCTTAATTATAACTTCGGACTGAATTTATATACGTAAGCAATTGCATTCGCCCATTTATTTTGATGGTGTGAACACAAATCCCCCAACTTTGACTATTTAGTTTTACAGCTTTGGATAGGGATCAAAACCACAATGACACAGACTTGTCTTAAGTGAAGCCTTTCATGACACCCTATTGTGAATCACAGTTCTCAGAAAAGTGCTTAAAGCCACTATTTCTTGATTTTGTTTTCAATTGGATAATGGCATCTTCTTTTAAATTTAAAGATTCATTTCATTTTTTACTGTTCAGTCCATTGTTTCAGTCTCGTTGTTTATAAAGACTAAAAACATACAAGTTAGAGCCTGGCATCATTCTTTTACAGCTGCTTATTTCATTTGGAGGTCAGTCAGTTCACCTTTGTACCCAAACAACTTCCTTCAGCAGAGTTATTATTTCAGGAACTGATTGTGGGCTTAAAAAGGAATTCCACCAATTTTTTAAACTTTGGCATATTTCAATCAATGAGATGTAAACAAAGCCATTCAGAGTGGTTTGATGTGAAACGGTTCACTGTCAAGAAATGTACTGACTCAGATTTCTTTACAGTGGTAGTGATAGAAACCAGGGGTCACAATGTCTACAACACAAATATAACAGTTTTATTTACTATCCAAAATCACCAGTGAACCTACACTTTTTAGATATAATGTTGATAAAGGTAATCTAGTGGTAACATGAAAAACTTCGTTTTCAGTAGGGAACTATTTTGCCCCACAGGACCCTGCAGGTACCCCTCCACCCTAATTATATATTAAAAAATACACTGTCAGCCAAAATCTTCTAAAAAATTATCATAAAGCAATGCCCCAGGCCTCAGGCAATATATTCATACCAACTGTATGTAGTACTTTCTGTGTAGGAGCTTTTAGAGACTCTTCAGACGTCTGGTTCCTATGAACACAACTGTGAACTATTCTGACTCTAAAACAAGGCATTTCACATCAAACAGCCTGGAATACTTTTGTTTACATTTTATCCATTTAATTAAGCAGAAATATTGTAAATTAGTGCAGTTCCCCTTTAAATGGCAAGTCAAAGGGAACCGGCGCCAGTTTTTTCATCTTTGTTTACAATACTGAAGTCGATACTTAAATAATTTATTCTGTGTCTCATTATTGTGTTCTGTCACCTCTAGTCCCGAGTCGAAATGCCACATTCACCCTCACTAACGTGGTGCCCCAGAGCCCAAAACTGAACCAGAATGCCTGGGCGAATCATGAGGCCAATCTGGCCAATATATTCAAAGCTCAGTGTGACAAGGCCTACGTGTTGGTTGGTGCCATCCCATCTGCTGACAACTGGATCATCAAGAACAACGTCAAACGGGTCAACATCCCAGAGTACGTGTGGAATGCTTACTGCTGCGTCAATTCCAACGGCGTTCCTATTCGCAGTGGAGCAGCGATCGCCCTCAACACTGACCAGAACATAGTTGAGGAGTACACACTGAGTAAGCTAGTCGAGTTCCTCCAGAAATTCTCCAATACAGCAGTAGGAGAGCTGTTCTACAATCAGTGCCAGTAACAGATTGTAACGTTGTTTCTTAAACTGGATACATCAGAAATACAACACAGCAGATCTCAATGTAGCTAATCTTATAAACACTGTAATGTAGCATGTTCATTTAAAAACGTACATCACAGTTTAAATGCTGCTGCAATGCATGTCAGAAATTCATTAAAAAGCATATCTAACCACTGGTATGAGTATTTTTGTAATGTGGTAAAACCACACAGTTTGATCTCTGTGTCTTATTTGAAAGTGATGCATTTTAGCACAACCAGAAGTTAAGACATAGAATATTTTGAATAGATTTAGTTCATTTTTCAAATCTAGGAAAAATATAAGGGACTGCCGCGCATATACACGATTTATAGTCTAATAAAGTTTCTTTAGGTCAGTCATGTTAACAGGGGTGGTCTTTGCACTAGGCAAAGGTAGCCAGCTGTCTATGGCCCCCTTAAGCCAAGAGCTCCATGAAAATACAAATTAGATGTACTGTATGTGTTGATGTTAAATAGCTTATTCCGAAATAAATATACATTTTACAAATAGCTGATATTTGCGATTGCAGTGGTAATTTCAATGCACAATGCCACAACCCGGTCATGGTTATAATGGACTATTCTGTATTGTTATGTGATGGCACAACTGCATGAAGACAAACTGGTATGAACAAGGTAATTACGCTGTAATCTACACTTTGTAGAAGAGGTTACCATAATTGGTCAGCATAATAATACCATTAATGTTAGTATAGACAACTGCAGTGTTGGGGGGAATTACTTAAAGTAAAACCAAAGTTACAAATTACTTCTCTTAAAATTTGGGGAATATGTTACTTACTACTTCCATTATTCATTATTCATTATTCTACCTTACTCTATACCAAATTGTCTAAATTTATTTGCATATGATTATTATTTCCAAATTATCTGCCATTGTAGAAAGATCATTTCACTTAATAAAATGATTTAAAGGAAAATGTCTGTAAAAAAGTTAAATATCCCTATAATCTCAAAATGAGAAATATTACATATATCTACTAGATTTAAGATTAATTCAATCGCCAAGATTTTTTTTTTTAATTCAAAAACTTTTTGCAGGTTTGGCACACACACACACACACACACACACACACACACACACACACATTTTCTAAGCCGCTTATCCTTTTGGGTCACAAAAAGGCGCTACCTACTGTGCCACTGTGGAAGAGTTGGCGTGCAGCCTTAACTAATTAAAAAATTTGCCTCTAGGGGGCCCCAGTCACTGTCTTTTACCTAGAGCCCCAGAGTCACTAAATCCACCCTTGACTGTTAAATAGCTGAAGAAGTAATGCTAAATTCACAAAGAGACTGTACACAAAATGGAAGTCATATAACAAGTGTTATTTTTGGTGTTGTGTTTATTTTTCCTTAACTTGTATCTATGTGCTCTTTGTACTATAAGAAAATGACTTCTGCATTACAGTGTCATTCTATTATATATAACCAATAATCCAATCCAGAGATGCACACAGTGAGCATGTTATAAGACACAGTGCTGCAAGGAAAATGATTAATATGCACATTAACAACAGTTTAAAAAGAATAATTTTAAACATGGATTCTGTAAGTAATGTGACCATGTACATCTTATGGCTTGTGGCATTACAATGATTATTTGTGATAAAGGCATATGTTGTGGTTAAATGCTTCTTCATTTAATCCACCTTGATCACAGAAAAGTATAGTTCTGACTGAACAAAAAATAAAATAAAGGGAAATAAATAATCAATGCCCAGATGAAAAGTTCAGTTAATGCTGGTTGAAGAATTTATTACAAATGTTTATTAAAAAAGAAAGAAAGAAAATAAAAGGCATAAATTTGCAATTGCTAAACAAGCACATTCAAGCAACTTTGCCGGAATGCTGGGTAGCTAGGTGTGTATGTGTGGTAAAAGGCTACCACCATGACAGTCACCCCATGGTTAGACTTCCTCTCTTTTATATTCAGCTTGACCTCTAGAGGGCACACTCACAGGGAGAGACTTTAATGCACACAATGCAAATTCAGCATTAACATTAAGGCTCCTACAGCAGACAATGATTCTGTTACAGTAGATGAACATGGTGAAGACAGTCAGACTTTATTGGGTAATCTCAATCTTTTAAAATCTTTGTGTTCAGGCTGAGTTTACGAGGAAAAACCCTGATGTCATTTCACAGAGGACCCTACAAACTGCAGGGAAAATTGTAGTTTGTAGGTCATGACAGCATATAAATATATCAAAACTGACTCTCCAAATATCTGCCTCTTTTGTGAATTTTACATAGATTTCTCCTATACGGCCTTGGAGGTGATTATACAATGCTGATCTATAAGTATAATGAAAGCCTAAACTGAGATTTTACACTTTCAAATGGTGCCCTTATGTATGTGTATAATGTAACCAGAGTTGAGCAGAATACTTTAAAAAAATAGTGATGATTGAATAATGTATACACTGTCCTAAATGTGTTCAGGAACATATTCCATTACAATACATAAAAAGTAACATATTCACAATTCATTTACAATACATTTAGAATATATATTCACAGGGCACATGGGAAAAACTCACACTTAACACTTCACACTTAAATCCTCACTATTACTGGTTGTCATGTAATTCTTCTGTTAGTATGTTTTATTAAAATTAAGTTGCAAACTTCTCAATGTTATTTTGGTTCTCACTGCCCGCTTCAGTCCACTGCTCCAAAAATCCCACTGCTGTTTCATGAATAAAGCAAACGATTTGCCACATCCTAATAAGAAATTTTGCAAATTTCACTATAAAGTGGCTAACCATGAGATATTCTGGTAATGTATGTATGTACATGTATTTAACTTGCCACAACACGCAGCCAGTACAACACCAATGCTAAGCTTATCACTCATGAACATGTTCAGGGAGAACACTTCAGTTCCATCATCCCTCAAAGGAGTGACACTGAATGTCATTAGAGTGATTTATCGGTCTACTCAGGCTTTAGCAGGAACTTCAGTATTTATAAAGAAGCTTTTTAGCATTTTCAAAAACCATCATTTTAAAATGAATGTAAATGATCTCTGAAGACTATCCAAACCATAAAATGTTTATAATCTGAGACAGAAAATATTCTCTATGAAACATGGTTGTTTTAGCTACTCATACTGGACCAGAGGATGGTCAGTCCATTTAGGCAGGCTGGACAGCTTCTCCTCAGTGCTGGGCTGGATGGGCCAGCCCCAGGCTTTGAAGAAGGAGACCAGATTCCTCCCTACCACCTTGGAGAAGGTTTCAGCGTACAGGTTCATCTTGCCACTGTTGTCTTTTGGTATGTTATTCATGTCACGGTAAGCAGCAAAGACTTTCTTGAAGGCGTCCCAGCCAAACTTTTCTTGCAGCTTTAAAAGACAAACCAAGGATTAAACTTACAGGGGATGACTAAGAAGTGCTGATAGAATGGAATAAATATTAGACACCAAAAGCTTTTTTACTTGGTTTGAAATAACATAGATGTTTTATGAGCTGTGGTCCTTGTACAACGTTAGAAATACCTCTCAGTAAAAGTATTATTATTGACTGACTGCCTTATGTAAACCAAAAAAATTAAAGTGAGATCACTAAAATTAGTCTACAATGAAAGGAAGCATGTAGTTAACTAACGAACAAGAATACAATCTGGGAATCATTAACCATGATGGAATTCTTGCTAAATGTTGGTGGGAACAGAGACGTATTATGGCACAAGGTGAGTTACACCTTCCAACACCTACAGAAGGCCAAGCATTAAGTATTGGCAGCGATGCGCTGGCCCAACATAAGACGTGTCTCAAAGAAGCTGAGGTAGAACAGACCTTACTATCACTGGTACACTGTTAGAAATAAAGGTACTGTGCAGGTACATTTTTCATTCATCAAGGCACAAACAATGTAAATGTTCCCTCAAAGGTACAACAGTGGTTTTGAGGTCTAACTGTGCACTTTAAATAAGTTTTTCCAGGTGAAAAGTACATATTAGTACCTTTTCAAAACCTAATGTTTTAAAACAGAACAATAATATGAAAAGCCTCGAGATGAGACGGGGTGTGTGGAGTCAGTACAACGTAGAAAATATCATTTCAATGGATTATGGTACAATTATGTTCCCTGAGTAAAGGTACTGAGATGTACCCTTGAGGGTTACTGCCCCAGTGACAGTTTACCACCTTTTTTTCTGAGTGTATACAAAGCCTCCTCTTCAGTGCTCACTCATGCACATTAGAGACAACCTAAGTGGGCTGTATCAACATGTTACATCTTCCTAACAGAAGCTGTGAGACGCATTCAAATCTTACATTTAAAAACATTCATTTAAAAGAATACTTTGGCAAAAATGACATTTACAAGATCTTCCACTTACCACAAATGCAGTTGATTAGACAAGACATGTTTGGTGTTTAAATGTTGCTTCGTTAATTTAGAACTGCAGCTGCTAGGCTAATGGTGCTAACAAACACTGTGAGTCAGATGTCACCAAAACTCTTACCACAAATACATGCCAAAATCCTTATGTATTTGCAGCAAATTACATTGCTCAGCTACGTAAACTTGTTTAAAAAACAATTTGGTAGAATGACCTGGACAGGCCTTATTTACACATTTAAACTAAATTTGGATCTACATTATTATCTGCATAATGTCTTGCTTTCTGGTAATACAGGCCTTCAAACTCTGGGAAGATGTAGTGGAGGGATATGCTGTAAAACATCACTACACAGGTATGTACACTGTAAAAATAATACTTTCTGGACCTGAATTTTCCTCATCTGATGGCAAAATACTGTGTGTCAGAATGACTATTTGAACTAGTGACACTGTTAAATGTTTAGTTTTCCTCATGTTTGCCCCAGGGGCCCCCATGTGGCTTGGGCCCCTTGGCATACAGGGGCCCAAGCCACATAAAACCCATTGGATAATCGGGCCTGCCCACAACTATGCTAATTTGTGCAAGACTAGTAGGAAGACCAAAGGAGCATGCATGATTTCGGCCTGTGGGGTTTGTAATAAGTTGTTACAAGATCACATCAGACTTTCTTCCAGGTCATTTTGGGCCATTTCTTTTGATTCATCCATCATGAAATTAACATACTATGTAAAGGACAACAGGCATTTTCAAATTACATGAAAAACTGAAAAACGATAAAAATGGAGATACAAGGTTTTGTTCCGACAGCAGAGATATAACAAAAATGCATATTCTAACTGAGGAAAAAGTTAGGACACCCTACCCCCTAATAGCTAGTGTTACCCCCTTTGGCTGAAATAACTGCAGTGAGACGCTTCTTGTAGATGGCCGGTCTCTGACATCAGTCTGAGGAAAGTTTGCCCCACTCCTCAACGCAGAATTCTTTCAGCTGTGAGATGTTTCAGGGGTTTCTTGCCTGTACAGCCTGTTTCAAGTCACCCCACAGCATCTCCATGAGATTAAGATCTGGGCTTTGACTGAGCCATTCCAGGACTCTCCATTTCTTAGTTTTCAGCCAGTCCTTGGTGGATTTACTGGTATGTTTTGGGTCACTGTCATGTTGCAGGGTCCAGTTCTGCATCAGCTTTAATTGTTTTACAGATGGTCTCACATGTTCCTCAAGCACCCTCTGATACACGATAGAATTCATGGTGGATTCTATCATGGTGAGCTGGCCAGGTCCTGCTGCAGCAAAGCATCCTCAAACCATGACACTATCACCTCCATGTTTCACAGTTGGTATGAGGTTCTTTTCCTTGAATGCTGTATTTGGTTTACGCCAAACATGCCTTCTGTTAAGGTGTCCAAATAATACTGTTTTAGGCTCATCTATCCAAAGAACATTATTACAGAAGTCCTGGTCTTTGTCTACATTCTTTCTGGCAAACTTCAGTCTGGCCTTCATGTTTCTCTTAGAGAGCAAAGGTTTCCTTCTTGCACACCTCCCATGAAAGTTAAACTTGTGCAGTCTCCTCCTGATTGTAGAGGCATGCACTTTCACATCAACAGTAGCAAGAGCCTGCTGTAGGTCCCGTGATGACATTTTAGGTTTTGTTTGAGACTTCTTTTAGCATCTTGCGGTCTGCTCTCGGGGTGAACTTGCTTGGACAGCTAGACCTGGGCATGTTGGCAGTTGTTTTGAATGTCCTCCACTTGTAGACTATTTTCCGGACAGTGGAATGGCTGATTTCAAATTCTTTTGAGATCTTTTTAAATCTATTACTAGACTCATAAGCTGCTATCTTCTTTCTGATGGCCTCAGGCAGCTCTTTCGATCTCACCATGGTGTTCACTCTTACTGCAGCAGTTAGGAGCACACCAAACTAAATGTTTAAGGGTTAAATAAGTTATATTACTTGAATCTCTCAGTATTGTTAAAATTGATAGTTTATTTCCACATGTCCAAATATGTTAAAAAACACACAGGCTTTCATAGGATGTATATATATATGTGTGTGTGCGTGTGTGTGTGTGTGTGTGTATATATATATATATATATATATACATACATATATTATGGCAAGCCAAACAGGAAATATTTAATGAACATTGATATATATGGAATGAACATTGATATATATTGAATGTAAATTTATATATATTGAATAAACCTTGATGTACATGGATCGAACATTGAGATGAAAAAATGAATAATATAATTCATAAAATGTTTTGTTTAGACAGAGAGGGACTTTTGAGGTTGTGTGTGTTGTAGCCTTGCACACCCCCCCTCCCCCCAAAAAAGACTGTTTACATTGTTATTTAATGTTGTTCCTCAGTTACAGTGTGTGTATGTGTTTACTGTGTTATTTTGTGTCTAGCTCAGAGTTAGGGAGAATGTGTTTGTGTTTGGTGACCATCAGAAGAAAGAGTGGGGCTAGGAGTGACTCAATTTTCAGTTGCTTTTCAAGTGGCACTGTTTTCCCTTGCTCTCAATAAAAGAGCATTTTTCAAACAGAAATTATGGCCTCATCTGACTCTTCTTCTGCACCATGTCAAATTATGTATATATTGAAACTCCACCCATCTGTGTCTTCACATCATATATCAGCCACTCTCAGGTCACTCTGTCCACGGGGTCACTGTGGATAGATACTGTTCACTTTATCAGAATTCCCTTCCTTTAAGCTTGTTAATGCCCATTTATTGAAGTACAGTTTTTCTTGGCCATCCTCAACCCTTCAACAGCGACTTTCATTATATATATATCAATGTTCAATCCATATATATATCAAAGTTCATTTATATATATATCAATGTTCATTAAATATTTCCTGTTTGGCTTGCCATAATATTATATATATATATATATATATATATATATATATATATATATATATACTTAATTCAGACTTGTTTTCAAGTCTAGTACTCAAATCCTACATCACTGACCTGCAAGTAAGTCTCCAGTGCTGTCCAGATGTTCCAGTTCTCCAGACGCCTGCCTTCTGTGATGTATTTCTTTATTCGGCTCAGTCGTTTATCCGCTGCCATGGCCCCATGAGCATTTGCCCTGTTCACACCCAGCACCACCTCATGTACGTACACAGGCCACAGGTTACAGGTACACTCGACAGTATGTGGTGGGAACTCCCACTTTGAGCATTGCTGATTATGGCCCAGTTCGTGAAGATGTCCCCAAAGATCACTTTTACCGGCAACATATGGATTCACCAAGTCTGTGGCACTCTGAGTCTGCATCATAATGGGGTAACCTGAATGCATGAAGCCTGTGGAAACAAGGTCATCATATGTAAGTAATATGATGAGCTCATGATGATGATAATTAAACCACCTAGTGGCAGTCGCAATGTTTCTCTTATTCAAGTTCAAACCACTACATGATACAGACCAGCCGAGATCTGAACATCAGCAACGAAGCGTTCCTTGCGGGAAAACTTTGCAGGCTTAGCGGCCAAATCAGCTACGCCCCTCATTATGGAATCCCAGAGAGCGGCCACTTTGTCTGGATGGTCCAATTGCCGTATCTGCTCTGATGGCAAGGTGATGATGAGGTTCTCAAACTCCAGCTCTGCCCAAGGTGCTGGTGCTTTACGGATCTTAGCTACCCAGTCAGATACGCTGGTCTCTCCTGAGAGAATTAACAGCGTTTAATTTTACAGTGTACTGCAGTAGGTCACGTTTGGCTTACTAAGAAGGAATAACCAGTAAATGAATTTACCAGACTTGTAGTACGGCGCTTTTATGGCTGTCTGTATGACAACCTCCATCTTATGTGCTGTGCTCCTAGGGGGTGCGATCAGGTATATGAGCCCTCCCCACAGATTCCAAACTTGCAGATTCTCTTTTTCCAAAGGGTAACGAACAAAGACCACTGGAGCTCGTTTCAGTTTATCTGCCTTGTTTAAGTCATCTGTTTGACAGCCAATCTGCACCTGAAAATGTGGTAATTAAGTATATACATCAAAATACCCACATTATGAGTTTGAACGAGTTTGGTTACTTTAGGTTTTGTGACATATTTCTCTACGAACCAGACATACGGCTACCAGGTTAGTTTGGTGTGAAATGCAGGGGGTCCTGGGAGGTCTGGGATCCCCTACTTTACCTCTTGATCCCCCTGATCTCAAAATTCAGGGGGATCCCTGAGAATAAACTTATTATGACATTATGCTGCCTGTTACGGAAAAATACACATGCCAATTAGCCTTGTTTACCCACAATCAGTGAGCTTCTGTCTTTAATATTCTTAACTAAGTAGAGAAACAGCGCTGGTCTGCCTCAGGGTGGTGCTGTAGCAAATTAGTTTACTCAGTTGGGCCTTCATAGCCTAGCAACTATATGCCTGTGATATTTGGCAGATCATATCTGTAAATCTTGCCCAATTTCCAAAGAGATCGGTGGGAGGAGTGAATTATTACGCATTTCTCAAACTGAAGACAAAAGAGAAGATGTGTAGGATTTCTATGAATGTATGGAAGAGCACATTACCAAACTAAAGAGCATTTCCAGAGGAAGAATTGCTAAACCAAACATTTCGCTTCCTCTGAAGCTAGCTGCACTGCTATGGCAGTGAGTTAGCAGCCAGACAACGCTACACTCTTAAAAAAGGAGGGTTCAAAGGTTTTTTAAATTAAGACAATATTTCTCACTCAAAAAGAACCATTTGCATGCTTAAAGCATTATTTAAATTGTGAAATAGTTCTTCAGATTGATGGAGAATGTGTTGTATTTGGTTCTATATAGAACCTTTTTGAAAAGGGTTCTACATACCACCAAAAATTGTTCTGCTATTGTTATGATATCACGCTTGTAACAATAGAAGCCATTTCACGATGCAAAGAGCCCTTTAAGCATCAAAATGGTTCTTTGAGTGTTCTTGATTCTATATAGAACCATTGCCCCCCCAACACCTGACCCCTCCACCCCCGAATACCAGAGGATATTTCACATATTGCATGCAAAGAATCTGGCAATTTAATGCAGACAAAAGTGGCGTAATGGCACCTTACAAAACTATTCATTGTTCATTGCTCATTATTCACATGACATTCACTCACAGACGGTTAACAGGGTGATGATTCTCTCCACAAGGGGGAGCTATTAGCACCAGCAGGATCTCTTTAATACACATATATTTCCAGGTACAAACTGTATGTATAAGAATTAAACAGCCAAAGACAGACTAAAATATTTCAGGTAAAAATTCGGTTTGTTGAACTAACTGTTGGTTGATTGATGAACAGCTTGGTGGATAGCTAACAGACTAACAGGCTACTCTAGTAATATTCAGAATTATGCTTTAGTTTTGAGTAATTATGGAGCTTTTCCTGTAAAACTGCATCATGAAGAGTAACATACAGAGCATTTGTTTTTTTAGAATTTTATTCAAATTACCAATGTAATTAAAGCTTTAAATACACACACACACACACACATCATCTAAACCGCTTATCCTTCTGGGTCACGGTGGGGTGCTGGAGCCTATCCCAGCTGACATTGGGCAGAAGGCAGGATACACCCTGGACAGGTCGCCAGTCCATCACAGGGTAAGCCTGAAATAACCATTCAAAATTCTGGGTTGTCTGGTTGACAGAAATTTTTCAGACCACGTCAGATGTCTTTACGTATTGACATCACAGGCACAGAATCAAATAGAAGGTCTGGCTCATATGGCTCATATGGTTACCTGAGCAACATTGGTCGGGTGTTGGCACAGTGCCGATCTGTACAGTGCTGAAAGTTAGTAAAACGAAGGAGAGAAATATCTCTGAATATGGAGATGTTGGAACAGCCAGCCCAGTTGTCTCCCACGGCACCACCCGTGGTCAAAGCAAAGAAACGTAGAGCTGAAGAGAACCATTGTTCTAACAATCTGTCCTTCCCATCCAGTGGTCCTGCTTAGCATACACTTAGCATACATCATTTTTAGGCTTTTGCATAGAAACTCTGTTTTAAATGGTTTTTCTAATTTTTCCATTCCACCTTAAAATGGGCCTCAGTACCTCAATGGCTGGAGACGCAAAAATGTGACTACTACACCATTTGAGGCAGAACAGGAAACTGACTTCAGATTTGTGTGATTTAGGATCTAAGAATATCCTACATATAGTTTTATCTAGAGCTCTACCTATAAATATGTGCTAAGGTAGGACATTTCAACAAGGTAGCACAATTTGTCAGAACACAGGCAAGCTAAAAGGGAGAGCGACAGACATCAGCGACAGACACCGATCAACATTAGCTTGGTTTTGCAGACATGGCAACAGCTCTGTCACCTGAAGGGACTCAGGAGTGATGCTGAATTGGCTTTTTTATTGCTGGAAAGGTAAGTTATGTTGGTTGTTTGCTAGCTAGCTACCGAAAATAGCTAGCCAGACTATTACTGTTATGGAATTTAGTGTAATGTAAAGCAATGCGCCCTTGTAACTATGAAGTTGTTTCAGTTATATAGCTAACATGTGGCTTTTTGGCTTCAGAGTTTGGGAAACTTGTAATTGTGAAGTAGTTTTAGCTGTATAACTAAGGTTAGCTGGCTAATTCACTAATATTAGCCATTTACTTTCCTAACAGTGTTGTTTTTTTGCTTCAGAGTTCGTCCTCTATTGTTTGATAAACCAGGCTAGCCATTACTGTCAGATAATTTCTGGTGCTACCGTCTGTCTCCTTTGCTAAATGCAACCACATAAAATATACTTTGCTAATATTGCCTAAATAGATATCTGACTGAGTGGAGGCTTACATAACTAATGGACACATGTGCTTCCCAGCTCTCATATGAACAGTAATGTTAGTTAGCTATCAGTTATCTGTGGTGAAGCAGACACAAGTGCAGCACAACCCACATTACAAAATGTTTTCCACACATTTCATGCAGTTGCATATTTCGACCAGAGAGGTCGCCAATTCCTCAAATTGTGCAAAAGTTCTAAAGTGTGGCTTTAATTTATCCACCACTGTGGACAATCAGAATTAGTGTAAAGTCAGGGCTTTAATTGTAAATTAAGACTTTGATAGCAGATTTGTTAATCCATGTTTAAAGTGGTGCAGCACAACTCGATTTAAAATAAATTTAAATGATTAGCTCTGAACTCTGTTTAATTTAATCCTTGTTTGTGCAGCCCACGCTGTATCTCACATTTCTAATTTCAAATGGACAAAATACAGTTAAGTGATACCTGCCAACCCTTGCCTACGATTGTCCTGGGCACTGTAATTTTAGTCTTCATTCCAGGAGAAAGATAGAGGCCTGTGCTTATCCATTCTTTATCATCTACAACGAGAAAGCAAGATGATCGTCTCATTAAGTAAACACTTATTTTAGATATTAAACATTTGATAGTTTAACCAGTGCTCATGTCATTTTTTGCCTTAAAAGCCAAAACTCAACACTGACCCAAAAGCTAACCCTGGAGTGTCAGACTCCAGTTCTGCATGGCCACATGTGTTCATCTTCATTTAACATACCTGATTCAGTTCATGTGTTAATTTCCAAAACTTTGATGAGTTGTTTTTTGTACATAAGAGGAGGAAAAACACAAATCTTTGTGGGAACCTGAGTTCAGTAATCCTGTGACCTTACAGACCCCACAAAAATATCTTAGTTAGACACAGGAAATTTAAATTTAATGTGCAGCTGTGTGTTAAACCCCTGAAGTTACTGGTTTAGAAGAATCTGTGTGAAACTGAGTCTAATCTGCTGCTAAGCTAATGAAAGAGAAAAAGAAATAGCCCCATTATGCACAACAGTTGTGTTCTAAGCAATTTTTTGAAGCTGTCCAATAGACAGCGAAACCAAACACTTAAACCAATACTCATACTTGTATGTAGCCTGCTGTAGCTTGTTATACATGTATTTTTAATGATTAAAGTAATGCTACTTTATTCTTACTGATCAAACTACCAGTACAAAAGCTTTTTTCATCCCGGAATTAATCAGAAGAAAGAGTAGCAATGAGATAAGTTCATCTAAGCTAAACTTTAAGTTTCTTCAAAATAAATAAATAAATAAATAAATAAATAAGATAGATTCAATTATTTTCTAATACTTAGTTGTGTCCCTTTGGCTTAATAACAGCACTCAGGTAAGGATTAAACCATTCTCTCCTGTCCATTCTACCCAACTGTTCCACAAACAGCGTCTATATTTCAGCCAGAGTTTGTGTTTGCATGATAGCATTTTACCTGCTGTTTCAAATTAAGCATTGGGATTGAAATCTGGTGATTTTGCTGGTCAGTCAAACTGTCCCAGTGTGCCATCATGTCCTTCTGTAATGTGGGAGTGTCAGAGAGTGTGTTCTGATCAGACATGAAGCACAAAGTAAGTGGAAGAGTGGGGTAAAATAGACAGGACCTCAAGAGGATCTCAAGAACTGGTAGAACCCTCACCTGAATGGATTGGCCCCATCATTAAAGCAATTACATGCTTAACCAAGTATTAGAGAACAAATTATGCAACTCATTTTTTGTCGAGGGAGCTTATCTTTTCATTTTTTCCCTTTCATTAACCATGTGATGTGTATATAGAGGGAAATCTATAGGGAAAACTGTGATAACTTAATTAGCTATTATTCTTTACCTGCTGTGCTAGCACTGATCCAGACTCTTGCATCTGACACAGATGGCAGATTAGGTATGTCTGCGATGAGGTATGACAGAAGTTCACTGGTGTCTTTAGAGAGCCTGAACAACTCAGTCCCCACCTGGAGTAGCAGGTGATCCTTTGCACTTTCTACAGGACGTGTAGGAGACACCTGTGGAAACCCTGCCTTTATCATGTCTGTGAGGAGTACAACTACTGATTTGTACATGTCACAGTTGTATGCCTGCATACGGAGATAACTGACACAGTCATTGCCAAGCTTCTTCAGAAACTGCTGTTTATAATCTTCCAGCTGCTTGCCCTGAAGCACATGTTGAGCAAAATGCTGCAGCAAATCCTGGAAATCATACATCTGTGTAGAGCTAATGCCATGTTGCTTCACCTGAGGAGCCTTGTACACACCAGCAGTCAGAGTTTTGTCCAAGAGACAGAGTCCCATTTTATCAAGGATGCGATTACCAGGGAAATCTATCTTCACATTACGGCCAGGGTTGGAATGGGCCCATGACCAAGCTTGTCCACCTATCAGAAGACCACCACCACCAGTAACAAACTCGTGGATCTCTTTAGACTGAGCATCACTGTATGAGGTGCAGACAAAGACACTTAGGTCTTCCTTAAACCCAGTCAACTGACACTGTAGTCCTGACTTATTCAGCAGGCTGTAGACCTCCTTAAGTTCAGGTACAACTCCAATAACCCCATTAGGTTTTTTATCAAGCCAGTAGACAGCATTGATCATGAATGTGGACAGGGACTCACAGCCTAGGTAGGCTTCATGGCTGGCCACAATTACACGTCCCTTTCCATAGTATGCCCCAGCAAGAAATGCCTTTTCATCTGTGGTGAATCCAATAGGGAATGCTAAAGGACCATGCACCAATACCTCAGATGGTACAGCCTTGCCTTGGATGTCTAATTCAGAAACTCCTTGTAAAAGGAATTCTAGAGCATAGTTGAAAAGCCGTGGGGCCTTGTACAGCCCAGCTTTCACGGTTGAACCAATGAGATACAATCCCATCTTACCCAGGATGCGATTTCCAGGGAAATCTATCTTCACATTACAGCCAGGGTTGGAATGGGCCCACGACCAAGCTTGTCCACCAATCAGGAGCCCACCACCACCAGCAACAAATTCCTGGATCTCTCTACACTGAGCATCATTGTATGATGTACAGACAAAGACACTCAGGTCTTTCCTAAAGCCAGTCAACTGACACTGTAGCCCTGACTTGTTCAGCAAGTAGTAGGCCTCTTTAAGTTCCGGTAACACTCCGATAAGCCCATTACGCCCTTTATCAAGCCACTGAACAGCATTGATCATGAAAGTGGACAGTGATTCATGGCTTAGGTACGTTTTGTGGCTGGCCACAATAACTTGTCCCTGTCCAAAATATGTTCCCGCTAGGAATGCCTTTCTATCTGGAGTGAGTCCGATAGGGAATGCTAAAGGACCATGCACCAAAACCTCAGATGGTACAACCTTGCCTTGGATGTCAAACTCAGATATGCCTTGTAAAAGGAATTCTATGTCATCTTGGAAAACATGTGGAGCCTTGTACAACTCAGCCTCTACAGTTTTATCTAAGAGGCACAACCCCATTTTTCCAAGAATACGATTTCCAGGGCATTCAGTCATCACATTGAGGCCAGGATTTTGATAAGCCCACGACCAAGCCTGTCCACCTATCAAGAGACCACCACCACCAGCAACAAATTCCTGGATCTCATTACACTGAGCATCGTTGTAGGAGGTGCAGACAAAGACACTCAGGTCTTCCTTAAACCCAGTCAACTGACACTGTAGCCCTGACTTGCTCAGAAGCCCATATGTGTCTTTAAGTTCAGGTAAGACACCGATAACTCCTTTACGTCCTTTATCAAGCCATTGCACAGCATTGATCATGAAAGTGGACAATGACTCACTACCTAGGTAGGCTTCATGGCCAGCAACAATTACTCTGCCCTGGCTATAGCACGCTCCAGCAAGGAATGTCTTTCCATCTGGGGTGAGTCCAATAGGAAATGCTGACGATCCATGCTCGAATATTTCAGATGGTAGAACCTTGCCTTGGATGTCAAATTCAGTCACTCCTTGTAAAAGGAATTCCAGATGATCTTTGAAATTTTTGCCTTTCCTGAGGAAAAAGAACAACACATATACTGGTTATAAGATAAACACAAATGTGTCTCAAATGAAACCTGGGCTGATCCTTTTCATATTGAAACTATGTAGCATAATGAAATAAACAAATTTCATTAGGTTTTATTTAAAAAGGTCCAGAAAGAGAAGTGAGTTGAGAGAGGCAATTGAGAGTCATGCAGCATTACATTTGGATTAGCCTGCAGCTAGATCTAGTCAAACTAGAATGCTCTTTATTGAAGTCATTCCTCTTCCCCAGCTGTCTGTTACCTTTACTATACTGTCTGTAACGGGTTTTGCAATTTTTAATATTATTATTGCTAAAACCTTATGTGAGGGTGTGAGGTAACCTGGATTTATTCAAAGTCTACCGACCAGGGCAAGAGAGAGAAACGCTCGCACCAAGGATGCTTCAGAAAAGGGAATTTATTGGCTAAATATCAAACTACTTTTGGACTTCATTCAATGATAAACAATAGAAAATAAAACCAGAAAACAAAACAAAACAAAGTGATAGTAATGAAAGACAAAATAGCTCGAGTAAGTTAGAGTGATTCACGGCTAAATGGTATGAGGCAGTGTGGTTTGGGAAGTCGCTTAGGAGAGTCTCTAGAGAATTAAGTATGGACAAGAATAACTATATGGCTGGATGTACCTATAAAAGTTATCTTATTAAATAAATTGGCGTCAGGGCCCTGACTGCAAATTGATGGAACCAGCTTACATTGGAGTCAGGGGCTGACTTCAGGCGGGGTCGTCTCAGGACAGACTCGATCGAAGGCTGGAGCTCACGCGGTGGTTCCTCTCCTCGCTGGCCGTGGATGCTGCATCTCCGTGCGGGCACATGCCTTTCTGTCAGTGATTGGGCGGAGGCGTCTCGTGGCCGTCTGACGGTGGAGCTTGGGCAGCCTTTCGATGGTCGATCTGTTCACAGATCAGTGCATGGCTCTGGGTGTGATGCTGGGTCTCCGTGGCGTCAGAACCGCTCCGACTCCGCTGGCGAGGTTCAGGTTGCAATCAGGGTTCTGAGGCTGGTGATACTAATTTAACTAACTACCTCTCTTTAGCAGAATCGAAAATTATGGATATATTCTCCCTGGCCAGACAAGAAATATCCACCTTCCTTTTCTGAGGGTGGTTTAAACTTAAGGTGTGTAGACAAACAGGCAAGTTACAAAACAAACAAAGGTTTCAGATCTGAAAATTTAGCATTCTAATACTTCTGACCTGTCTTTCTGACCAAGGCCGGCACAAACTTAGAAACTTAGCTATCCATTTGTTGCAAACGCAGGAATCTGAACTGAACTCAAATTTGCGGTGCACTCTGGTTTTGCTCGGCTGTAGGCCCTACCCTTTGGAGGTGGAGCCAGAGTGCTGATAGGTTCTCCTCACCTAAGGTTACTAGCTACTCATTGTTTCCAACTCTGATTGGTTGTGCATAATTTTAGGAATGCCTTCCCCAGAATCACTGCCTCCTTTGTTTCAGCTAGTTTAAACAAAGAAAAAGAAACATTCCTATATCATCAAATTGGTTAAACTTTCAAAATCAAGAAATGAACAACTAGGATATTCAGACATGTTTCTAAGAGAGAGTTTAACCCTTGTTACCTGATACACAACACATGTCAAAGAACACAGGTACTATTTGCCTATCATGTCTGAACATGACCCAATGCATGAAAAATAAAATCGACAATAAAAGGAAAGGAACAAAAGAAGAAAAGAAAAGAAAACCACATTCAGGATACATATTGGTCAATGGTCTAAACTCATAGCAATTAAATGGTTGTGTCTGACTGTTATCAAAGTTATACTCTACGTATTTCTAGCACTTAATAGTAGAAAAAGATACAGGTAATATTTAGGTACTACCCAACAACAAGATTAATACAACAAGTAGTATTGCGTACAGATTGTATAAATGTTGATAATCAAGCAGACAAGCAAGAAGTTTCTTGGGTTCCTTATAAGCACAAGTCCTTACGGTGGTGATGTGGTAATTTGCGGTTTCACCCCTTGGGGGTGCTGTTGGTCCATGCTTGAGATCCCTAGGGAATTTAGGAAGTTACAACTTTGCCGTCCAAAGTCGTAAGATTTCCACTTTTGGTATGTCTAGTTTAGTTAAAAAGAGTTCTAACGAATGGTTGCAGCTTGGAGTGGACGTATACCTTAGAAATGTACTTTCTATGCTCTTTCTATGAGTGGCGCAACCGTCTAAGCGTTGGCCCTATCATCAGGAGATCACGAGTTCGATCCCTGGTGATGCTACAGCCATCCGTAGCCGGGAGTCCGAGAGAGCACAACTGGCCTCGCTCTCTCTGGGTGGGTAGGATGGCCCCCCTTCTCCCCCCCATCACTCAGCGCGATGCTAGTCAGCGCAGGCGTCTGTTAGCTGACGTAACAGATCTGGTGGTTGGCGCGTTCGGCTGTCCGGTGACGTTGCGTGAGCGGCAGCTCGAAAAGAAGCGGTGGTTGGCTTCACAGATCTCGGAGGAAGCCTGTGTTAGCCTTCACCCTCCTAGCGTTGATAGCATCGTGTGATTGGGGGAGTCCTAACTAGCAGGTGGAATTGGAGACGACTAAATTCGGGAGAAAATCGGGTAAAAATTAAAAAAAAAAAGAAATGTACTTTCTGTTACTTAAAGATAAAGTTGTCCACAGGACTTTCAGCTGTAAATCTGACTGAGTCTGGGGTTGGGGGGTGTTAAGCCGACAGATTTACACCTCAATTCCAGATTTGCTGGAGCCAAAAGGCCCTTAACTTTGGGTTGTTGATACGTTAGAAACACTAGCAAGTTTCAGCCAGTGTTCGCTACATGTCTCTATACTGTCTCTCAATATTCTAGTAAACACATAATTTGGAACAAACTTAATGTTCCACACAAGCTTAAACTTAAATGGCACATTTCCACAAAAATGTAATGCACTTTTACTTGCACTACTACTATTTAACTGCTGAATTGAATAAATAAAAAGAAAACCTCAAATAAAATGTGGTATGTGCAAAAGTTTGGGCAACTTTTCAGTCCAGTGTTATTTTTTTGTAATGCCTCTGAGCTTATTTGACTGATTAAGCCTTAATCAGGTGAAGACAGTTCTATAGTGTAGAAAACCTCCCACTCAACAGACATGGGCTCATCTAAGTGGCTGGCTGAAGATCTGAAACTAAAGATGACTGACTCTTACAAAGCAATAAAGAGTATGAAAGATCTAAAGTTGATGCATAATTAACTAATTTATGTAGCAAGTTGAAACACCAAATGTCCTGCTTTTAATTTTCATTGTCTGAAAAGTCATTAGGAGATGGAAGTTAAAGAAAATAGTTGACATGAAGACAAAATCTGGAAGACTGAAAGAATTCTTTGAACAAAATGCACATAAACTGGTCAAGTTTGCAAAACAAAATCCCCACAGGTAGGTGGCCTTAACTGTGATCTCATCACAAAAGTCACGGTCCAAAGTATGCAACACAGCAATCAGCAGCATTTGGAATCAAGTGCTGTGAACTGAACAAAAATCTAACTCTGGCTCTGATCTTCAAAGGTATGTTTGTGCAGCATTTCAAAAAGAAGACTTGGCCAACTGATAAGCATGGGGGTGGGTCCGTTATGCTTTGGAGTTGTGTGGCAGACAGTGACACAGGAAATGTTGTGGGGATAGAGGGACTGAAGGATTCTAAATTAATGAACAAATCCTGGAAGCTGATGTCTCACAGTCAGCAAAGAAGCTGAAGCTGAAAAGAAGTTGGATATTACAAGTAGACAATGATCCAAAACACACATCAAAATCAACATTGAACTACCCTGATAAATGAAACATTTAGGTTTTGAAATGGCCATGACTATCCCCAAACATGACCCGCAAGCCAGACAACATGAATATTGAATATTTGTGAATGGGAAGCGTTCTGCAAGGCAAAAAGTGAAAATAATTCCAATAGTAGAAAGACTGTCCTCTGGCTACAAGAAACAATTGCAGGTTGTAATTTTGGCCAAAAGGCATCTTTTGAAGTGCTGACCAAAAGTGTGCCCAAACTACCATGCATAATATTTAAAATTTTATTTATTTAACACATCAATAGTACTGTGCATTAAAAATTCCAGAAACTTGCCATATTAAAGTCTGTTCCATGCATATGTGGTGGTACAAAATTACTTAAAGAATGGGTTACATTCACTTCCATTGCAATGTTTTTTCCTTCTCCTGTAAAGTTACCAGTTTAGAGGTACCATTTTTAAGGTTTTTTCTGACAGTGACATATTCATTGTAGTGTGTGGTTTGATACAAGACCAGTTATGAAAACAGATATTAAAAGTTATCGTTAATGTTTACTATGCTGAAACTGTTTAAACTAATCATACTGATCAGCAAATCAACACACTTCACTGGCTAATCTGTCTTCATTAACAAACTAAGGCAACACCACTGATTTTTATTTTTCCTTTCAGCTCCACTACTGTTATCAATTTCGTTAGCTGACTGGCTGAGCTAGTTAGTCTCTAATCTGATGCCCTCAATTACATGCATGGTTTGAAAAGCTGAAAGAAGGCTATCCCTTCACAATTTCACTGTGCTGTGTCTATCAGCCGCAGTCAGGAGACAGACAGACGCCAGTCATCCTGTTGTAACACGTGCAGAATGTTTCTTGCTGTTGTCATGTTGAGACAAGCATTGACGTCCCTGAAAACATAGCATTTAAAGGCAGCATATGTTACCCCAAAATGTGTATATACTTCTTTCGATGTTAATGGTGCTTTCACTGTTATGCAAGTTACCCAGTAATGCACCCCCATACCATGACACACCCTGGCCCTTGGCCCAGAGAACACGATGTCCGTTATTTCCATAAATAAACTGCATAATACATGTTTCCACTGTGCATCAGTCCATTTCAGATGAGCTTGAGTCCAGAGAAGGCACGGCATTTCTGGACGTTGTTGATATATCTTCTTTGCTGTGCATAGCACATTCTTAACTTGCGTTTGTGGATGCAGCGACGAACAGTGTTTATTGACAACGGTTTGTCAAAGTATTCCCGAGCTCATGTGGTGATGCCCATCACAGAGGCATGCTGGGTTTTAATGCAGTGCTGCCTGAGGGATTTTTTTTCCTTTTCTTTTTTTTTATTGCTTTTTTGGCAGACACCAGGCTTTGAATCTGTGTGAAATATTGAATTACGGAAGTAAAGTTAAGTTACTACCTAACCATGGTGGCGAATATTAATGGCTAACCAAATTTAGAAATTTGGACAATCATCCAAACACTGTTGGCATTTGCTGAAATACAGTAACTTGATGTGGCTATAATAGGTGACAGATCATCAAGCAATATGAGCGATTGTTGAATAATGCCTGTCTCACACTACAGGATTAATGGGCTGTTTTTAAGTTTCATTCCTTCTCCACTTTCTGTATGAGCTTCTTTGGCTTGCTTGCCTTGTAAACATTGCATTTCTTTCAGGAAATGCCTATGTAGTTTTACGCAACACAGTTTGGGTGCAGATGTACTGATACACAGCTGTATGTCTGGAGCTGAGTAGTTCTTTTTCCACAAAATAGCTTCTCAATCAGGTCATACTTTACTCTTGCAGTTTGCTGAGGTTACCAATATCAAATCAAATTGTGAAATATAGAGCTGGACTGCATTAAACTACTTTTGATTTCTGAAAAAAATGTAACTCAATCAAGTAAACATTGAAACCCTAGAGACAAGTAGACATTACACACATTAGACTTTAAATCTGACTTTAAGTAGATGTAAATATGGATAACCACACTCTCCACATGCACAATATAAGGCAATGTAATATAATATAATGTAACATAAGTTTTATAAGTAGGAACAATTTCAGTAGCTACTTACATGACTGGATATGTTGACAGTTTCCTGCTGCAGTAAGTATGAGAGAATTCTAACCCTAACCCTACTGAAAGTGTCCTGTGTAGCAAATCCCACCCTCTATTTTGTGAAAGGGCTGGGACGCCCCACTCACATAATATACGCATAAGGAACAATGGCTATGCAGCAGTGGAAGCAACCTGTACCTGAGATTTTGCTGTTAACTAACAGCACTGCTACTTTTATAACAGTGTAAAACCTAAAAAAAGAGAAAATAGTGTTTCTTTTGAGACACTACAGATGGTGACTTATGTGATATGATAAGCTCAGTTTAAACTCTATGGTAGACCACTTTTATAATGAAAAACAGTTTAAACATACATTCTTTTTTTCACTATACTAATATCTGTTCACTCAAGTGAATGAAGTCTGAGTTTTCAGTGCAAACAAAGAATCATGTTAGGTTAAATGCTGCAGTGCTGTAACTGTACATTCAGTCAAAAAATCTAACATAGTTCTCGTGTGTTATGAGTTCTGAGTGTTTGTACATCTATTCAGCCATGGAAACAAATCAGATATGTAATGAATTTACATATTTAATGTTTGTGGTGTTAACTTGCTACATAAATTTGTAGTAAGTTAATTAGATTACTGCCATTGTTTTTTTCTCCTGTTGTTCAGCTAAATCAAGTAATGCAAAAGAATTTTAACACATGGGTACCTAGCCTAGTTTGCACTGCCACATAAGACCTTGTGTGCTCAACACCTTTCAGACAGTTTGTTGTTTGTCCTTCCTTGGAGGTTCAGGCAAGTAAAACGAGCATTCCCCAACAGTTAGCTAAGAGAACCCATCCATATGGATCACTACACTTTAAAAACACTCACCACACTCGACTACCTAATCATTTTTCCAGGCTCACTCTAGGAAGCTACCACTACAAACCACCTACACAACAAAAACAACTTAAAAAGGAGGCCAAACCTCAAAAGGGTCCCTTAACCCTAGCCTCGAAAATGTTAATTTCATTGATCCCTGGTGAGAAACTATGTTTTTTTGTATTTACATCTGAAATATCTTTGTTAACACAGGAAAAAATGTTGGCAATAAAGATTTGCACACATTTTTCTAAAATTGTTGTCTGTAGAGGCAACATGCCGGGACAACAGCACAGAGAGCTCCAATCATCTATAAAGCAGGCCAATCAGATTAGCTGTGCGGCGGGACAAAACCAGATCCCTTATCATTTTAAGTTGAGTTGACCTCATAGTGTAACAGAATAGAAGATATAGGATGTACTGTTCGATATAAGCTAAAAGAAAAAAACACAAATGAATCCCCCCTTTGTTGTTTTTCAGAGGCGAGGAGTGTTCAGTGGGCCAGAGGAAGACTCACTGAGCCAGACTTGGCAGACGGAATACTCAGTTTAATTCCTCAGTTCTCAGAGAAAATAGAAGCCTTTACAGATCAGCGATGTTGGGTGCATTACTCCTCAGTTTCTGAGGATCTGTTATCCTGCCTTGCAATTTTTAATACTCTTAACACACCTGATCCAACTAATCAGCTCATTAATAGCCCATTATTAAGTTAAAGTGAGTGTGTTAAAGCAGGAAAAGCACTACAGTGTACAGGTCAGTGGGCGTCCCTGACCAGGACTGAGAAAGACTGCTTTAGTAAATTGATTTGACTAAATAAGTAATTCAGATATTGGTTTTGTTAACATTTCTGTATCAGATTAAACCAAATGTTTATTATTGTACTGTATCATATTGTACAATAGCATTTTTAAAAATGAGGTTTCAGAATGGGCAATCGATTAGTATACTTACCCGACAAAAAAGCTAAATATTAGAATAAATTTACACATTTTTGTGCTCAAACAGGCACTACGACCTGTCACTAAGAGGTTGCTACACAAATCTGTCCAACACTGATCTGGATGAGGGGGTCAGAGAGGTGGTCAGTGGAAATGATGAACTTGGCATAGAGCTTGTTAGAGCACGGCTTGGAAGTGAAGTCATCATAGTACAGAGGAACAGCATTCGTCAGAGTTTAATCTGAACCAATGGATCAGCAACCAGAGCCCAGTCACACAGAATGCACGGAAAATCTTATCAAGATGCAGAGCCAAACTTGTAGCATCTTGATGGCAATCACAAGTGAATCAGGTATAAAAGTGAAGCTCATTTTAGGTGTCTTACAATTTGATACATTTTTGCAGGGTGACACATTCAACTGTTTCTCAATACAGTAAACTATACTAGCATTAAATACTACAGTTTATATAATTTATACTAGTATGTTAACTGAGCAATGTCATTATGAACAGGGTGCAATAGCATTTGAGAGCTTTGTGGAAATTATTCAGCAAAGTGAGTATCCTCCAGAGGGCACTGCAGTCAAGGCAGAGAGAACGATGCAGTTTGCTTGTTCCATGGGACAGACAGAGGGAGTGCTATGAAAGGAAGTACCCACAAAAAGTTGTGGTCAGATATTTGGAGAGGTGTTACAAACACATACCACACTTTATTTTTACCCTTTTAGAGAGTGAAGGCACAATTAACAGGAATAATAGAATGCACCTGTGGGCACTACATTATGCTTATTTGACTGGGATTAATTGACACCCGTAGCTGGGTGGTTACTAACTATAAAAACATTTACTATTCACAAGGAACTATATTCCTGGGTGTAACAACAGCTGCATAAGCAGGATCTTAAGGGTGCCAGTGCAAAAACAATTAATGTGCCCCCCACTACACAAAAATTGCTTTCATTACTAAAAAGTGACAATGTAATTTGCCTGTTTATTCAGAATCAGAATAGCGTCAAGCTTTATTGGCCAGGTATGCTTACACATACAAAGAATTTGGTTTTGGTTACAGGAGCTCACAGTGATCAGTATCAGACAGACGTTTACATGTAGTGAATAAAATAAATATAAAATAAAATAGAATACAATACAATAAAATAAAATAAAATACAAAAAAATAAAATAAAAAATGCATTCCTACCATCACTCACTCATACACACACACATACACAGTCATAGCTGTAACCTTTACATTGTGCAAAGTATGGGTCTAAAGTTAAAGTGATGAGTGCAGCAGCAGTTAAAGGGTGTATAGTAGCAAAGAAAGGGATCAGTGAGGTGACAGATAAGTGGGGTAATATGGCAGGTAAGTAAGATGCTAGAAGTTGGTATTGTTAGGTTGAAATGGAGTTGATGCTGTCAAGGCCACTCCACCCACTAGAATCTAATGTGTTTGGTTTGCTATATAACATTGGAACAAATACAGTTAAGCACAAACACAGTAAAATAATGTGTTGTTTGGCAGTGAAGTTATTTATTATGCAGGTTTAGATGAATACTGTTACAAGAACACTGGTTTCCTGGCTTCTCTCTGCACTCCAGCCATCGCATGGATTTGTTCAATTCCATCAGCAGCACCTGATTTAATTTAAATTCATTCGACGTGCACCACTCATATTATCTGATGTTTAAATGGATGATAGATGTATATGTGACTTCTCATCATGATGGAGTACTTATTTAAAAATAGTGGAATTGTTAAATGCTGCTTTTGTAGATTAAGAATAAGGAAATGTTGAATATGACAGATGGTATTTTATACTTGCATTACATATCAACATTTTGAAAAAGAAAATAAAATCATATCTTGTTTGTCACTGCTAGTAGAATGACTCTTATACTAAACGCTCAGCTCTCCATGCGTTTTATCCATAATAGAAATGTGAGTTTATATGTTCTAATTTTACATTAAACTTTCAGTCTAGCGCCTGATCTACCAGCGGCTAATGTGGAGAGAAGCTCAGATTAAGAGTGAAAAAACCAAATGACTACAATTTGTATAGAAAATCACACCCATTGTTACGACATCACAGTTATCTATAAATGTGATCTCTACAGTGGAGAAACTAGAACTGCCTGTGTCTGCTGTTTTATACATTACAGTAAATGTGCTTGAAACAGTCTCTCACTCTTTCACTCTTAAATTCCTTTTGTATTTTGACAATATTCTCTCATACAGGGGCGACATTTGAGTCTCATATCAGCAAATAAACATCATCTCATTTGTGAGTAGCCAACAGTCTGTTTCCATCTATTGTCAGACTCTGTATCATGTTTAATCTTTTTATCTGAGTCAAAGTACAAACAGCAGACTTAGTGCAGTGGTTCTCACACTGGGGGTCTCAGGTTTTTGAAAAAAAAAGAATATAGGTCTATATTTTTGACAATGACCAGCACGACACAGAGCAAACACAACTACATTGTGACAATCAGTGAATAATTAGTAAATGACTTTTATTTGTTTACAGAGAAAATAGAATAAAAATAGATAGTAGCTTTTTTCCTGCGAGAAATATAGAAAATAACCACACAGATGATTAAAATGTTATATAGATAATCTAGAAGGAAAAGTAATGTCACTAAACATGACCCCACTGTTCAAACTTCAGCTCAGATCACTGAAACACTACAGCTGACGTGAAAAACACTGAGTTTAGCTCTTTAGATCTGTGAACCAGATTTAAAAGAATACAGAAATGTATGAAAGTGGAATATTTAAAAATACAGTATATTTTGGTTTTAGTATTAGTAAAAAGTACAAACAAGTATTTTTAGTTAAAAAAAATGAAAAAGAAACAATTTTCTTCAGAAACACTTTAAAACTAAATTATATAAAAGTACAGAGACTTCAAAGATAATAATGTCACAGTGAAAACTGAATACACTTTTAATATTGATATGTAAGTAAATAAGTGAGACCTAATTGTTAAAATGACAGTAGAAACGTGTTCCCTTTACAGCATAAACAGGTTTAGTCTGATATGATTTGCACTGTGTGTAGTTCTGTGTTCATATGGAATCTCTGATCAGACACATACAGAGGCTGACTGATCTGTGCTGTCTGTCTGTCTGAGTGCTAACTTTGAGCTGCTCGTCTAAACCTGTTCATTTTCCATTAACGTTTGTCAAAAGTCTCCTGTTACTGTGAAAAAGCTCTTCTGGGAAACAGCCGGTCAGAAATACGTGTTTAGATACTGTCATTGGGAATAAGAGCTGCTGATGGATGAATAAGAATAAAAGTTTAGCGTGCTAAGCTAACCACATCCGATAACATGATTGACAGTAGCATAGTCACATGAGTCCTCCTCCTTCTTGAAGGTTCCTGCTGTAACAGCGTCATTAGAACTGGCTGCAGTCTTGCTGAAGTTCAGTGTTGCGTAAGTTGGACCTTCAGCTGACTTTCCAGACGACTGCTGAGTGTCACCTGCTGAAGAATCAGAGAGAATTGTGGGTAGTTGAGCTGTGGAGCAGATGTTCTGATTAGGAGAGATTGATGGTGTTTGAGTGGCATAAAGAGGATGTGAAGAATCACAGGGGCTTGTGGGTAACTGGACATTGTCATAGACAGTTTGAGGAGGATCTGAGGGGTTTGTGGGTAGTTGGGCAGTAGAGTAGGAAGTGCAGGAGTCAGAAAGACGTCTGCTGTCTTTAATCTTCTCATAATCAGAGACAGTGAGGGGAACCTGAGAGCAGAGAGAAAATAAATGTAAAAATCTGACGTTATCGTGGTTCACCGCTGGATATATTACAGTGGTGCCTTTTTCTGTCTACATATATGGCGCATGTGTGAGTTTAGACAATGTTTTAGCAATAATCAGTTCAGTAATGTTTGCTTTTCACAGGTTAATACAGGACAATAGTGACCTGCTTTTAAATTTGAAGTCATGACTCACCGTGTGGCTGTGTGAGGAACCTTGAGCAGATTGGCTTGGGGACCAAGCTGGATCTGAGGAGAAAAGAAAACTTGACATTAAATCACTCAGAACTTGAGAAATCATTGCTTTATTCTTAATATTGAGCAAAAACTGTCGGAGTGATTATTTTAAAGTGGAATTAATCTGAGAATGTGTTCAACGTCTTAATTTCTAGCCACTTGCATGTCCATTTCTAGCCAGCAGGGGGCAGCATCTGTACACTGTTAGTCCACCAAGTCTAGTGCATTTCATTTCTGACTAATTAATCTACAGCACACACACATGCTGCACTCACTTTGTGTCCTGTGTCTCTTCTGGAGAGTGAATATGAAGAATAAGAGTCCAATCAGAAGCAGCAGCACCATCACACACACAGCAGAGATCAGAGAGGAAGCTGGAAATGCTGGAGGTGGAGAAACAGGATCATCTAGAGCAAAAAATAATATATCCTGACACTTCAGGACATTTAAATGATACATGATATGCATCACAATATTTAGTTTTTCTGGAGATTTAATAAGTTGGAACAGACAAAACAGAACATGTAGTGACTACAATGATTTTTATTCAATGTTTTCCAAACTGCACTGCACTGAATCCAGTTAAACAGGCCTAATTATGCTCACTTTGTAATGAAACGTAGTTACTCAGTGTTCTCAATGTACTGGCAATAACCAAGATATGATCAGCAAAGCATACTGTGACACACTTTATGATTATACTGATACAATATTGTCATAACATCCACTTGTAGGTTCATCATTAGTGAATCAGCCACAAACAACAATCTGATCATTCAGTGTGTCTGATCAGACTGATCATATCTGAGTAGCTGTATTTTGTGTGATGTAAATGTAATCAGTCATATCTGCTGTAAATGATTACTGTAATGATATAATGAGCTGGTCAGTCATCTAAACAGTACAGACCAGCCTTGGTCAGACTGCAGACTCCCTGTAATTCACTGACAGGATCTTAAATTAGTGCTGTTCACATGCTGCCTCTAGACTGTCAGAACACACAGGAGAAAATGTCTGATATTAAACAGGTTCATTTAACATGGTATCTACTCACCAGTAACTGTCAGACTGATCTGTGTGATACAAACTCTGTATCCATCATCAGATTTCCAGTCTGATTCAATTCCACACCAGTATTCACCAGAGTCTTCCTCAGTCAGACTGTTGATGGTCACAGTGAAGATCTGCTGTTCTGGGTCATCAAACACTGAGAAGTTTCCTTTATTTATCCATTTTCTACTCTGCCTAACAAATATTTTAGAAATACAGAGAGCCTTGTTCTCTCTCTTACAGAAAAACTTGGACTCAGTCCTGTTGGATTGTGGGTATTTGCAGCTGATGTTCACACCTCCTCCTGCATGACCAATCACACTGATGCTCTTCTCAGACGACAGATCTGTTAATCAGAATCATTCAGGTTAAATTCAGTCTTAAACAGGTACATAAACTAACACTGATTATTCCATTTAACTGGTTACTATATTATCATGATTACATGTTTGTTGGGGTTAATTTATCAGAAACAGCAGCAGCTCAATGTTCTGATCCAGTAACATCTAAAATAATCTCCTTCATAAACACTGAAGAAAAGCTGCTCTTCTCTTTTCACTGAGAATCTGTTCAGAGATTCTGTTTTTCTTTAATCAAAACGCCACTGATTTGTTCTGACTTTACAGAAATATGTGAGTCTGAGTTTGTTCAAGATTTCATATCTTGATTTTGACTCCTCCTCCTGCATGGTCTGTCACTTTTGTAGAGGCCACACCCCCTGGCTAAAAGTATGGTGAGATCACTCTATGAAAGGGAGGAGAAAAAAAATGCTGTTCAAGGAAATCCTTTAAATTAAAAAAATTGTTTCTTGTTTAATTTTGGACAAGAAGAGTTTCACTGAGTGACGATTCAGCATTAAATTATATAAAAACTGTAGATAAAATGTTTGTGTGTTAGCAGGACTGTAGAGAGGAGATGTGTAGAAGAGATGGTTGATCTGGACAGAGAGGAAATGTGCAGAGGAATTTAATGATGGTGTTATTGGAGACACATCTCTGCTTTCATTTTTCCTGTTACAGTGTTTTCACTCCTCTTTTCTCTTGTTTTTGAATGTTATTTATATCAGTCAATGTTGCTGAATCACTGTACATTTTGTTGATGTGCAAATCCTTACATTAAATAAAGAAGAAGCAACTGCACATTAATGAGGAAGTCCTCATTCATACTTTCAGGAAATAAGCTAAATATGTCTACTGCTCTGTAGTAGAGACATGAATATAGATACACAAAGCTCTGAAGACTGAGAGAATTAGAGAAACATCCATCTAGATCTGCTACACTGTAAATTAAATTATTTGACTTACGTAAAAAAATCATACAAACATTCCCTCGAAAAAATGGAGTAAAGTTCTTCAACAGGTTTCAGCATAAATGACTGTATTTTAAGTTCATTTCTAATTTTCAGTGTTCCAAACTTTTTTGCAAGTAAGGTCAACTCAAACAGCCCAATCATTCTAAAGAGTTTCAGTTGAGCTGACAGTCTCTACTATTTAATGTTCTGCTAACTCTTGAATGAGTTACATTAACTTTAATCAGTCTAGTTAGATTAAACTCTCATCACCCCAATTCATGTCAATAAAACTGTTCAAACTCATTAACTTAATCTCAACACAAACACCATCATAGTGAGAAGAAAACATGTAAAATGCATCAAAACTTAATATTTTAGCATGAGAATGTACTATGACACAAAAATGAGATTTTCAAAAGACTCTTCAGTCTATAGAACTGATTCAGTCTATCTGAACTAGATTTACATCAAAAACTAAGGATTATACAAGGAGTAGTAAGTGTTACTAGACTTGCATTAGAAACTAACGTATAAAGACCTTTGTAATACTTTTCTGAAGAATCTGTACATTAAAAATTAAGTGTTGAATGTAAATGGGGGGATATGGAGTTCTCTCATTAATAATTTAAGGAGGCTTAATTGTAACACAAGTTAAATCTAACCCCACTATGTGGAGGCTGTACTTTAGCCTGGCTAGCTTTCACTGTGAGTTGTTTACATGCTTCAAAACAGTATTATAGAC